TAAATAGCACATATCCTCCATTATTCTGAGATCAATTAATCTTCTATAAACTGTTGACAGCCATTTTCAACATTATTTCAAACCCCTCAGCAAAAGTAACTGACTTGATGTCAAAGGCGAGCAGCCCTCCTGCATTAGCCCTCCTGCGATATTATAGATTGTTTAAATAGCCTCCTAAAAACAAAATTGATCCACTATTATCAATGTCTCTCACTGGTGAGATAACATACAGCAGCTTTCCATCGAAGGGGAAAAACCGCTATTGATTACAAGACATCTTTTTAATAAACACGTATCTCCTTATGGATTTTAGACAGGTCCGGCTGGTAATGGCATTCACGACCTATAAACTGTGCCCGAAGATAAATGAACATCCTCAAGGGGTTGTTGTTGTGATGTGTGCCAGGAGTTTGCCACAAACTTCAGAGTGGGTAGCTGGCAACAACCGGGCTCTTTTGACAATCAGAGTGATCAAACAATATCAATCGACGAACTCAGGCGAGCAGCCAACCAGGAGTGTTTTTTTAATGAAAGCGTTTGAAGAAGCTCAGGATTGTGAGCCTGGAAAAGATAGCAAGGTAGGAGTGATGTAGCTCGAAGGAGGGAATGCTCAGTTAACGGATGACAGCACAAGGACCCAATCTTAAAGGAGAGGACAAACAACCTTCGCGGGACAGCAAGCAAGGCTTTGTCACTTATTCTGTGCGGATTTTTCATGTACAGAAGTTGCAGCTTGTTCACGAGTTTTATGTAATGTGAAGAGACTGAAACTGTGAGGGAATTAAAATGACAGGTGACAAAAGTTGTTTTTCCAGGAGTAGCAGTATGAACTATTTTCTTCAAAGTGTAAAGCCTTTGAAAACATTTGAGCACTCAAAAAACTAAAAAAAAAGGTAAAAGATAAAAATGTAGCAAAAGAAAACTATACAAATGAAAGACTGTCTGATTCAAAGTCTTTGCCAGATGTTTCTGGCATCCAGTCATTTTCGGTCCTCACTGAAAGAAAAATGCTTCATGATGCAATGTGACAAAATCAGAGCCAAATAATTTGATGTTTAATAAACAGTTACGTGGAGTGGCACTGATAACTATATCCCACAATGCATTGAGTGAGCATTTTAAACTAAGGGGGTCTGAATACTTTCCGTACCCACTGTATATATATTAAATGTTATATATAACATTTTTAAACTGTAATAATATTTTACAAATATTAAAAAATGTACAAGGGACCTTTTTCAATAACATTAAAAAAATCGCAATAATTTCAAACTTTTGACCTGTAGTGTGTGTATATTATATATTAAATATATAAGGTGTATAATGGGTATATGTGCATATATTACATTTAAAAATATATATATATTATCCACAATAATAATATTTTTTATGATGAATATTTGCTTGCAAATAACAACTTATAAACCTAAACTTAAATGGTCAAAGTATGTGATGTTTTAATCTTGATGACTTGATGGTCTGCTATGATAAAATGTCTTTCTTTTTATTCCTGCATGTATTTGCATGTTGCACAATTTTCAAATGTTTATAATAGTTTAACAAAACTGCTTCACTCTTTGTTTTTAATTTCTATGAAATAATAATAATTAAAAAATATATTTTAATGGGGCTCTTTGTCTTCAAATAATATTTCACTTTAGATCATTCAAGTTTTTGTATGTAATTTCTATCTGATCTGGATTTCAAAAGAAAAAAATCATGCCATTGATCTAGTTATAGTCCAAAGGAGCAACAAAACAGCAGTGCTTGTCTAAACCAAACAGCACACACCAGTATTTACACGAGCCCACTGGACAGCACTGAAAGAATTGATTTTGCGAACCAGTGAAAGCACAGCGCATATCAATTTGGGCAGCGCAGCGTTGCATGGTTTGCATGTAAATACAGTCTGTTATGGCTATGTAAGTGAACGTAAACAGATGGGGGGGAAATAATGTCAGAATGTGGGATCTGTGCATTAGACCTTGCAGTGTAAAAGCAGCCAAATATGAAGGGGACAATTTTCTGTGAACTTCCTTTCCAGTGTTACGACAACAAAAGCACAGTGAACCCAAATTTAGTTTCTTTTTTGATTCATGATTCCACCGTAGCATGTTGAAGAGCTTATCCGTCCCCGGCGTCTGCTCTGAACGATCCTAACCCCTCATTCTCTATGATAACAGACACCTGAACAGATGGATGGCGCCTCAGACAGACTGGGTCCGCTCACGTTCTTAAGTACACTGAGAATCACTGACAGAGAGAATGATGGAGCACCTGGCGTGGGAGAGAGACCTTCTGTTATGCCACTGTAAATTGGCTTGACAAGAAAAACGTTTCGCCTCTCAATGTCAGCCATTTGTGCGCCGGCATAAACGGAACTGCAGCCCGGCAGGTGTGGCGCAGGAAAAGGAAAACTGATCCGCTGAACACATTTCCCTCATTAAGCGAGCTGCCCTGAAGCCATCAATTACACTTTCTGTTTTAACGGCTAGAGAAAGACAGGCTGGAAATTGCCAGTATGTACTGGAGAAAGTTCCTGCTATTAATGAATAAAAGAACATTTAACTGGACTACACAATTTCAGAAGAAATTCGTGTCTGTGCAAAACTTGTCATCTTGATTCTGGGCTGCTCTAAGTGGTTGCTAAGGTGTTGATAAATACCTAGGAGTTATTAGACAGTTGCTAAGTTGTAGGTGGTAGCTAGGTCATTTCTAAGTTGTTAGGCATGGCATTAATTTTATAGAGTATTTTTAGGTGGTATTAGATGGTTGCTAGGGTGTTCTATTGTTGTTAGGGTGGATTCTAGGGTGTTTGCATGCAGTTGATACATTGTTCTATATGGTTGTACTGGCGGGTTGTTAGTGTTCTTAGACGGTTGCTAGGATATTCTGGTACTGTAGTTGTTTGGATGTTCTAGGTTGTTGCTAAGCTGTTAATATATGGTTTCTAGGATGTTTTTGTAGTTGCCTGGGAGCTGTTTGAATGTTGCTAAGTTGTATGTGGTTGCTAGGTCATTTCTAGGTTGTTCTAGACAAGGTGGTTTATACTGTGGTTTTAAGTGGTGGATAAGATGTTCTAAGGTTTTACAGTAGGTGGTTGCTAGGGTGGTTACTAGGCTGTTGCTGTGATGTACTGGATGGTTGCTAAGACAGTTGCTAGGATATTCTGGTAGTGTAGTTGCAAGTGTGTTTTGAGTTGTTGTTACAGTGTTTCTAGATGTTTTCTAGAGTGTTCTGAAAGGTTGAAAAGGTGTTGATACATGGTTTCTAGGGTATTTTGCGTAGTTGCCTGAGAGTTGTTAGACAGTTGCCTAGTTGTATGTGGTTGCTAGGTCATGTCTAGGTCATTATAGGCTATGTGGTTTATACTGTGTTTTTAGGTGGTGGCTAAGATGTTCTAATGTGTTGTTAGATGGCTGCTAGTGTGTTCAATAATTGGTAGGACAGTATCAAGTGTGTTGCTAGGCAGTTGGCACAGTGTTCTCTGTGGTTGCTAGGGCACTGCCACTATGTACTGGATGGTTGCTAGTGTTCTTAGATGCTTGCTAGGATATTCTGATACTGTAGTTGATAAGGTGTTCTGGGTTGTTGTTAGTGTTTCTAGGTATTTGCTAGAGTGTTCTGAATGGTTGCTAATGTGTTGATATATGGTATCTTGGGTGTATTGCAGAGTTTGTTAGAGTTGTTAGACAGTTGCTAAGTTGAAAGAGGTTGCTGGTCATTTCTAGGCTGTTTTAGGCAAGATAATTTATACTGTGGCTTTAAGTGCTGGCTGAGATATTTTAGGGTGTTATTTCAGTAGATGCTAGTAGTTGCTAGGGTGTTCTGTGGTTGTTAGGGTGCTAGGCAGTTGTTACAATGTTCTGGGTAGTTGCTAGGGCATTGCTAGGCGCGCGGACAATAATGTACAGTATTTGAAAAATAATGTGTTTTTTGAACATTAAAGCATGTCAACATATTCTGTTACACCAAATACACAAAATAATGATCTTTAAAAAAGCATCATATGACCCCTTTAAGGCATTTTAGGCAGTTGCTAGGGTGTTCAGTGGTTGTTAGGGTGGTTTCAAGTGTGTTTCTAGGCAGTGTTGGCTGGGAGTTATTAGAGAGTTGCTAAAGTAAGTTGTAGGTTGATGCTAGGCTGTGTCTATGTTGTTATAGGTGTGGTTTATAGGGTGTTTTAAGTGGTGGCTAGGATGTTAAAGTGTTGTTAGGGTGGTTTCTAAGATGTTGCTAGGCAACTGATACAGTGTTCAAGGTGCTTTCCAGGGCACTGCTAGAATGTAGAGGATGGTTTCTAGGATATCCCAGTACAGTAGTTGCTAGGGTGTTCTGGGTTGTTTATAGAGTGTTTCTGGAATGTTCTGAGTAGTTGCTAATATGTTGATACATGATTTCTAGGGCTTTGAGTAGTTGCCTGGGAGTTGTTAGAGAGTTTTATGTGTGGCTATGCAATTTCTACAGTATGCTAGGTGATTGTTTATAAATTCAGTCTGGTTGCTAAGGCATCGCTAGAGTGTCTTCAATTCAACATTTTTTTTCACTTGTTGAAATCTTTAAAAACACACTTTTTTTAATTTTATGGAAGCTCATGTTATGTGCATGTTTTCAGTGGTTCCTTTGCCAAATTAATTTGGCCAAAAAACTTTATTCAACATTTATTTTAGAGCACACAAGCAAAGATTAAAACTTGTCATTTCAAACTGAAAAATAATTTTGACTCTCAACTAAGCAATTACTAGCACACAAAGTTTGGCCTTTAGGGCCCTCAACAGAAACTTTGGGGTCAATTTTATCTTCTAACCTGAATGAAAAAAAAATCAAAAGGAAGTTAGTTCAAATTTTAAACTGTTTGCACTAAAACAGATGAATCGTCTTATAGCTCCATCTGTTTCTCACAGTTTTATGTTCTCATTATCTGGCCGTTGGACACAGAAGGTGCACCGACAGGTCACACACTTTTAGTTCTCCATCCCTCCATCACCTTCAGTTTTTTCCATCTTATAATGTTCCTCTCCGAGCTTCCTTAACTGCTCTGCAGCCTGCGAAAGAGAGTAAAAGGGAGAGAAATAGACAGAAAAGAAATAGAGAAGATTCTGAATGAGTGAACAAACTCCGTTTAGACACTCAACAACTAACACATACACTACGTCTCTTCTGCTCACCAAGGCTGCATTTATTTGATCAAAAATACAGCAAAAATAGTAATATTGTGAAATATTATTACAATTTAAAACTGCTGTCTACTGTAATACATGTTGAAATGTAATTTATTCCTGTGATCAAAGCTGAATTTTCAGCATCATTACTCCAGTCTTCAGTGTCACATGATCCTTCAGAAATCATTCTAATATGCTGATCTGATGCTCAAGAAACACTTCTCATTATTATCAGTGTTCAGTTCGGCTTAATATTCTTGATTTAAGGATTATTTGATAAATAGACAGTTTGAAATATGATTTTCTTTGTAACAATATAAATGTCTTTACTCTCACTTTTGATCAATTAAATGCATCCCTACTGAATAAAAGTATTAACTTATAAATTAATTAGTTAAATTAAATATTACTGATTCTAATCCTGAACAGTAATGTAGTTCCAAATATAAAAAGAAAATAATCAATTAACATTTCTAAAGTATTGAATTCATTGAATGATCCAAAAATGTATTAAATATAAACATTTTTAATAACATTTACCAATAAAACGTATTAAAGGGGTCATATTATGCTCTTTTACAAAGTCTTGATTTTGTTTTGGGGGTGTACTAGAACAGACTCTCATACTAGTTTGTTCGAAAAACACATTATTTTTCACATATTTTACATTATTACAACATCTCTCTCCCCAGTCTGGCATGAACGGCTCGAATAGTTCCTGTATCAAATGAAGGCCCGCCTTCTGAAATATGAAGTGTGCTGTGATTGGTTAGCTGGGCCAGTGTGTGCTGTGATTGGTTTAGCTGGGACAGTGTGTGCTGTGATTGGTTAGCTGGGCCAGTGTGTGCTGTGATTGGTTAGCTGGGACAGTGTGTGCTGTGATTGGTTAGCTGGGCCAGTGTGTGCTGTGATTGGCAGCACTCGGCGTCTGGTTGGGTAATGTCACGCCTCTTACCATAGCCACCTGCGAGCTTCAGTATAAATATTGCGTCAAAATCAAATAAATTTGAGCGCGATTTAAACCCGGATGATTGTAACCACTCTAAGTTCGTCTGGCTTGGGAAAGCTAGCATGTCTCCGACATAGTGATGACACTCGTTGCCTTCTCTAGTGCAGCTCAACCAGGTCAATGTATTTAATGAGCTGTAGGCAATAATGATGGCACAATGGTGACAGCTTTTTGTAGACCTTCAGATACAATATGTGCTTATACAGAAACTCTGAATAATAAACCTGTGCTGAGAAATATTTCTGGGAGTAAAAAGTGTGACAACTAGTTCCATTCTCTCTTACACAGTTCTTTAGAAGTGCTTGGACCACATAAACATCTACACAATTTGCTGGTATAGAGACTGTGGCAAAGAGGCAGATTGCTGTTAAAGCACATTCTGAAAAACACAGTGTGACCCAGACCCTCCAGCGACGGCAGACTCTGCATTCATGTCTAGCGCTCACAGCAGAGGAACCACCAGTCGCCGACTCTCTCCTGAGATAAGTCCCTGCAGTGATGTGATTAAACGTCCTAGCGGCTGTGTCACTTCCTGATCCAATCTCTCAGCCACAACACTCTTTAATTCCTCCACAACCGCCGCTGCGGCACGGGCTGGCGGAGGCTGCTGCCGCCGTTGAGTGAGAGGTCAGTCTCATAAACACTGGCAGCTGGGCTCGCCATGGGAGTGCCGCATTCATAAAGCCATAATAAATGTTACAGCACATTAAATCACCCCAGAGGTTCAGCATGATATTCCAAACGAAAGCCATTCAGTTATGACGTTTGAGCGCCGCAGATAAAAAAGTGTCCATTGCATGTCACGTAATGCTTGGCAATAACCAGCATATGAATATGTGCTTGTGCGTGCTAGGAAACAACTGGAAATATGGCCGTAGTGAGCGGTGGTGTACATGAGCTCTGAATATGGCATATGTGGCAACCTGGATTTAAATCTGGCCTAATGAGATTAATTGGATGACCCTAAAAATAGAATACAGTCATCATTAAATTACTGTTCCAAGCTAATATGACTTGTTTTTCTTTCATAAAACACAAAAGTAGATGACTGACTCCACATACAATGGAAAAGAAAATAAATTGCCATATTTGTAGTACATAACTAAGTAAAACTATTAAGGATAATCTATTGAAATAAAGCTGAAATTAACTGAAATATAAACCTTGGCAATGCACTGAAATAACTGAAATAAAAGAAGTTTAAATTGATGTAGTAAAATTACAAAAACTAAAATATATATATAAATTTAAGCTAAACAGAAATATTAAATAAAATACAAAAACATAAAATTACTAAAACAACTTGAAATTAAAATGAAAACTGAAAAAGTATAAACAAAAAATAAAAACTAATTTAAAATATTTCTAAATACTACAACAATATATAAATAATACTAAAATAACACTGCATAAAACTCACAATGCACATTTTTCAGAAGTCATATAATGTCTTTGTGTAATGAAAAAAAATATATACTATAGTATAAATAGGCGCCGGGAGAACACATCATCCTCTTCTTCGTCTTCATTGACTGTTTTGTTTGAAGCGTGCAAAAATTTCCGTGGTAAGAGCGATCTCTTTCAATCATTATGGCGAGCACTAGCAAAGCGTTTAGAAGATGTGTGCATCTGTGTCATCGCTATTTGACACCCGATGACACACACGATCTATGCGTTGTTTGTTTGGGCGAAGAGCATGCACGCGATGTCCTCGAGGGGGCAATCTGTGTGCACTGCGAGCAGTTTCCAATGAAAAAGCTCCGTTCTCGTTTGTCCCTTTTTTTGAGTAAAGAGGGGCAGCCATCTGCTTCCATATAAATTTAAGCTAAACAGAAATATTAAATAAAATACAAAAACATAAAATTACTAAAACAACTTGAAATTAAAATGAAAACTGAAAAAGTATAAACAAAAAATAAAAACTAATTTAAAATATTTCTAAATACTACAACAATATATAAATAATACTAAAATAACACTGCATAAAACTCACAATGCACATTTTTCAGAAGTCATATAATGTCTTTGTGTAATGAAAAAAAATATATACTATAGTATAAATAGGCGCCGGGAGAACACATCATCCTCTTCTTCGTCTTCATTGACTGTTTTGTTTGAAGCGTGCAAAAATTTCCGTGGTAAGAGCGATCTCTTTCAATCATTATGGCGAGCACTAGCAAAGCGTTTAGAAGATGTGTGCATCCGTGTCATCGCTATTTGACACCCGATGACACACACGATCTATGCGTTGTTTGTTTGGGCGAAGAGCATGCACGCGATGTCCTCGAGGGGGCAATCTGTGTGCACTGCGAGCAGTTTCCAATGAAAAAGCTCCGTTCTCGTTTGTCCCTTTTTTTGAGTAAAGAGGGGCAGCCATCTGCTTCCCGGGGTTCAGGACCCGCCGCTGCTGAGGCACGGTGGAGAATGAGCTTGTGGGGATCGCAGGTGGACCTGGCCGATGAGTTTAAAGAGGGGCTTTCCCTCTCGCGCTCGTCGGCTGTGGACGAGAGTAAGCCGCTGGAGGATGATGTTATTTCTTTAACATCTTCTGATCCAGGGGCCAGTGCTCTGCTGAGTTTTGCCCAGGAAGAGCAGGAAATGTCTGAGGAGGGTGAAGAAGCTGAGGCTGAGCCTTCCCAATCCTCCTGCCCTGCGTATGATGAGCTCTTGGAAGTTATGGATCGCGCCACGGCGAGGCTTGACTTGCCGTGGAAGCAGACTAAGGAAGTGGCGTCGCGAGGTCGTCTCGATGAACGTTATCTTTCTGGCCATAGCCCTCCAGCTCAGGTGAGCCTTCCTTTCCTTCCCGATCTCCATACTGAGATCGAGAAGGAATGGAAGAGGCCATTTTCGTCACGCATCCATCGGTTCCAGCATACCAGTTATGCCAACATCGAGGCGATGCGCGAAAACGGCTATGAGAGGATGCCCCCGGTAGAAGAGACGCTAGCCAGCTATCTCTCTACACTCTTAAAAATAAAGGTTCTTCACGATGCCATAGAAGAACCTTTTTGTCTAAATGGTTCCATAAAGGTTCTTCAGATTACAAAAAGGTAAGAAAGATGGTTCTTTAAAGAACCTTTGACTGAATGGTTCTTTGTGGAACCAAAAATGGTTCTTCTATGGCATCGCTTGAAGAACCTTTTGAAGCACCTTTATTTTTAAGAGTGTATGGGTGAGACATCGTCTCTCAAAACTCCCTCCTTGCCATCCAAGCCCCTTCAGATTATATCTTGCTTGAATGGCAGGGCATATGCAGCAGCAGGTCAGGCTGTCACTTCGTTGCACATGATGGCGGTGCTCCAGGCATACCAGGCTGACCTGCTGAAAGACCTGGATAAAGGCGAGGACATTTCTTAACCCCCTGGGGTCGACAGTTCCGGTGGCGGAACTTTTTGCAGACTTGAATGTTGACAGTGAAAATAAATAAAATGCTCCTTCATACTTGATCGTACATATAAGAGTAATACAGCATTTCAATGCAATTTATTTATCAGCTATGCATCTTCTGGTAATTGCTAACAACCATTTAAATTTTCGTTTAGGACTGTGGCTGCATCACTCGCATAATTGCACAAGAAAGGCACACGTGTCGTTCAGTTTTGAGTTAGCTGAAAAATCCTACTGAGTAAGTGCACAGTATAGTAATTGTACTTTTATTATGCCTAGACTATATGGTAATATTATTTGTGGTTGATAGGGTTAAAATGTAGTTTCTTTGTTATTGGCATTCTGTTTTCTCATGAAGTATGCATACTATACTAAGGTACTGTGGGAAAAAATGCTTACAATTTTTTATAAAATTTATTTTAGGACCGAATACACCACTCTTGCCTTCACCTGCATCTCTCACAATAAGGGGACGCTCGTTCAG